TTTTTTTTTTTTTTTTTTTTTTTTTTTTTGGTGTCCACTTTCCACTTTCCAATATTAAACTGGAAGGGCAGTGGTGTATGTTTGATGCTCTTCTTTCCTTGAGCCCGTTTACAGCTGTGTATCATTCTGTTTGCTTTTTGCCTTCCTTAGGGTGTACTCACAGTAGGACTTTCCTCAATGTATCTGACTGCAATTACGGCCAGACTTTGATGAATCTGGCCGCAATCATGTCCAGAGCTTAGTAGAAAAAGTCCTTGTGTGAGTATGCCCTCAGGGCTCTGTTGGACTTCATCCATTTAGTTCCTGCACCTTCCTTGAGCTGCCCCTACTACCGTCTTCACCCAAATAGAACGCCCAGTCATTATCGCTGTACCTAGACAGAAAGTTCCCTCAAATACATCTATAATGGTCAGGCATTCTATTCGGGTCACGAAGGTGGAGGCATATCTCCCTGCCTTTCTATTTCCAGCAGATCGAAGGCGTGGCTCTGCCGCATATCGCACCTCCCCTTTCATCATTTGCAGGGGTTGACAGGGGGGGGGGGGGGGGGGTTGGCATGGCCAACCCCTGCAAATGATGAAAGGAAAACTCTGTAAGGTTCAATGTATGTCAAAAAAAAAAAAAAGAAAAAAAAAAAGAGGGATGCCAGACCCGGTTTCCAGCAGGTCCCGCTCCCCACCAATAGATGGAGCAGCCCGACAGCCAAACCCTCAAAAACAATTCTGGCGGTTCTCTCACCACCACTGGGATAGAGGGCTTGTAAAAGGGCTATTCCTCAAAAAAAAAAAAAAAAAAAAAAAACTACGGGGTGAACTACCTCAAACTTTGTAAGTTGTAAGTGGATGTTGTTTTGTTTTGTTTTCTTTTGTTTTTGGGATCACACATGGAAAAAAAAAAAAAAAAAAAAAAAGGCCCAGGCCCCCATTCCCCCTTTTTTTTTTTTTTTTTTTTTCCTTTTCTCTTCCTTTTTTTTTTTTTTTTTTTTTTTTTTTTTTTTTCTCTTTTTGAAAAGCCCAGGTTGTTGTAGAGGTCAGGTTTCAGAAACTCACAGGAGTTGCAATCTCA